CCTATAGCGACATCAAGCACTTCTTAAAAATCAATGAATTGTTAGGGAGACGTTCTCTGAATAAGGGACATAAGAAGAAATACTTCCTCTTTGCTTCTTAGCTTTTCCAACTGCACAGGCTCCTGGCTGGCACTCTGGAACTTCTTGCCCAGACAGCTACGTGAGCAACTCCAACAGACACATGCAGCCGGGGGAGCTGCTATTTAAAGACATCCTCCCATTTGAGTGAACAACCATTTGACTACGAACATCAGCCCTTACTGATATTCAGTCAGGCTTCCCCACTGGCTCAGTTGGTAAAGAGTCTGCCTGCAATGCAGGAGACCTAGGTTTAATCCCTGGGTCAGGAAGATCCCCTGGAGAAGGAAATGGCAACCCACTCCAGTATCCTTGCCTGGAGAATCCCACAGACAGAGGAACCAGGCAGGCTACAGTCTGTGGGATCGCAAAGAGTCGGACACGACCAAGAGATTAACTTTCACTTTTTCATCAGCCCTTACATGATGTGTCACTATTTCCAAAGAATCAGCTCATGAATGAGCTGTTAGGTCGACAATGATGCCTGCTCTGAATCTGGATATTTGTGGCTTCTGTCTGCCAATGACTTACCCCAAAGAGTTTAATAAAACAGCATCTTTGCCAGTGAGGAAGTGATGTACTGCTGGAAAGGTGAAAGGGCTGCTCAGGAAGAACATGATCACAATATGAAAACTGCAGGGCTTTCTCCAAAACAAGGGGTCGAGAGGAGGCCTGGGGAACCTCAGGATGGAGTTGTTGGGGTGGGCCAGGGGGAGGCCGGGCCGGGCATTCCGGGACAGGACGGGGCGTGAGGAACATGGAGTCCCAGGTGAGCAAGCAGAGGGAGCCAAAGTCGGGGCGCCCACAGTCCAGGCCGACCTGCAAGATCTTCTCTGACTTGATGATGGTTCCCTCGTAAACACACACTTTGGCCCTACGCGGACACACTCTCCTGAGACTCAGAAAATACAACTCCTCATGGCCTCTATGCTCAGGATTCCCTGAGGCCCCCTGCCAGGGCCCAGGGAGATCTGGGCATGACCAGGAAAACACGCCTGTGTGCGGGGAGGACGGTGTCTCCCCACCACACTGGGTGGGCCCCCCCAGGAGAAGACAGAAGCCCCCACTCCCAGTTTCTGGGTAGCCTCGGCGAGTTACCCCCTCCTGCCCTCTTAGCCAACATCTCCTGTCTTTTGAGACCCTGTGGTCTGGGGCCAAGAGCCCTTCACCTGTTCTCACTCTCAGAGGGCAGTGGGTAGGCTCACGACTAACCCATCACTTTGACAGATCAAAGCCAAAGCCACTTCCCCTCCTGGGGCCCAAGAGATGGTGTCATCAGGGCCTAGGAGGGGAACATGGTGATGATGGCACAAGGTGAACGGGCTGAATGCCACTGAAATGTGTCCTTCAAAATGTACAACAGAAAACCATACAATTCAAAACCTGGAAAGATTCCTCAGAAAATCGAGTCGTCGCCATAGGATCCCAACCACTCCTAGATATCTAACCAAGATAAACAAAAGCCTATAAAAAAACTTTTATACAAAAAGCTGCATACAGATGTTCATAGCAGCACTTTTCACAATGGCTGAAAAGTAGCTAAACAACCCCAAAGCCCATCAGCTCATAAGTGGATAAACAAAATGTAGTCTATCCATTTGTTGTTGTTCAGTCACTAAGTTGTGTCCAACTCTTTGCAACCCCCTGGACGACAACATGCCAGGCTCCCCTGTCCTTCACTATCTCACGGAGTTTGCTCAAATTCAGGTCTACTGAATCAGTGATGCTATCCACATGAGGGAATATTATTCAGCCATAAAGAGGAATGAACGTGGATGAGGAACAACAATGTGAATGAACCTTGAAAACATTATGTTAAGTGAAAGAAGCCAGTCACAAAATGCCACATGCTCTGTCAGTTCAGATACATGAAAAAAATCTGGAATAAAGACAGAGAGGAGATGAGGGCTTGCCTGAGTGGGTGATGCAAATGTTCTGAATTTGTGGGAATGGTTGCTTAATTGTGGATATAGTAAAGCCACTGATTTTGTACTTCAAGTGGACGAATTTTATGCTGTTAAATTATATTCAGTAAAGCTGTTAAAAGATAAGAGGCACCCAATTCACAAGAAAAGCCGGTATGGCTTTTCTATCAAAGGTGGCCAAGCAGACCCTGCACCTTCTATACGAGTTCAATTGCAAAAGCAGCACTGTGTCCCCCATATTTTAATTCGGCTTCAAGTCAAAACTCTGCCACTTCCCCCCAGAATCAGTAATTATAGCTCTGGTTGCAGTTGGTAGGACAACCTCCACTCTATCTGCACAAGCCACTTATACGTAACAGTCATTTTGCTCCGAGTTTCACAAACGTGGACTTAGGTCCTGTTCCATGAGCCCTCCCTACACCGCACTCCCTCGTCCTCCGTTCTGTAACACTGAACACAAGCTCCAGTTTCAACCCAAAGCTTAAGATTTCATGGTGACAGGGCACAGAATAATACGACTGAGGACGCCTGCAGCAAAGGTTGGTCTAAGTGCTGCACACAGTTAAGATTCCAGCTCACACAGGGCCCGGGCTTCCCTGGTAGTTCAGACAGTAAAGAATCTGCCTGCAATGCAGGAGACAGTGGGTTCGATCCTTGGGTCAGGAAGACCCCCTGAGAAGGTAATGGCAGCCCACTCCAGTATTCTTGCCTGGGAAAATCCCATGGACGGAGGAGCCTGGCGGGCTACAGTCCATGGGGTCACAAAGAGTCAGACACGACTGAGCAACTAACACTTTTCATACAGGGTCCAGGGGAAAAGGGACCCCTCGCCCTCTGTGTGTGACTGTGGTCCAGGACCTCAGAGAAAGCAACCAATTTAATAGAGAATTAGCAGAAAGGAGACAATCATCAGGCAGCAAAAAATCTAACCAGGTCTCTAAGCACCAGCAGAGTATTTTCTAAGCCGGTCAAGGTGCACCACCAGGGTGAGCAAACCACCCAGAGAGAGGCGGGGACGACATGCCCGTTTGAGAAGCTGAACGGAAGAACGCAGAGGAGGCCGGCTGGGGGCGACTCCCTGCGCTGAGTGTTCAGAGTGCTGGCGAGGCGGGGTCGCAGCCCTGTCTGCCGAGGCACACCTGGACAGGTGAGTCCGCCCTACGCTCCCCAGCTCTCCCACGCGCTGGGTACAGCTCCCTGCAGCCGGGTGTCTGCCCGCCCCTCTCTGCCCAGGAGGTGGCCACGACAGGGTGGTGGCTCCAGAGGAATCTGAGAAGACACACGGGCCAGGGATGCAGCCAGGACAGCAGCCTGGGTCCAGGGATCAGGAGGCCTGCCTGTGCGGCCCCGCGGTCACCCGGGGGATCGGGCAAGCGCTCGCCAGCCTGGGCCTCCGGGCTTCGGTCCTTGGACAGACTTCACGGTTCTCCTGGGGCTCAGTGCCTGGCTGCTGCAATCATGCCAGCAAAGGCAGCAGGGAAACGATGCCTCCAAGGGCTCTGGCCGCCCCGTGCCCAGCGCCTCTATCCTACAGCGGCATGCTGGACGGGCCTTGGGGCATCAGGGGGGCCCTCCTCCCTCTAACAGGCACGGTTCCTGCAACACCCGACGCCCACCTTCCTCTCGAAAGTGCCCACAGGGGCTCGTGATTCCTTACAACTATATACTGCAGGATAAAGACGTCTAAAAGAGATCTTCAGTTGAACTTAATAAAATCTGAGCAGCTGGTATGTCACAGACACGGCCGGGTTACATGACATGAATTAGGTTGACACAGAGAAGAGGTGGGGATGGGGCGGGGGCAGAAAGTTCACCAAAACGACACGGAAGCCCCTCCGCCCCCCGCCACAGCCTCACTCACACACCACACCGCCTGGACGGGCCCACAGGGTGGATACCCCCTGGCGGCTCCTGCCTGAGTGTGAACCACTAGGCAGGTGTGGTCGCCACGTCTTCACCGCACGGGAGACACCATGAGCTCGGGCAAGCACCAGTCCCCTGTTTCCCGAGGGAAAGACTCTTCTGTCTTGGTTTCACCCCCTGAAAACCGGGTCGCAAGTCTTCAGTTCAGTTCAGTCACTCAGTCAAGTCCAACTCTGCAACCCCGCGGACTGCAGCACGCCAAGGCCTCCCTGTCCATCACCGACTCCCGGAGCTCACTCAAGCTCACGTCCATCGAGTCGGTGATGCCATCCAGCCATCTCATCCTCTGTTGTCCCCTTCTCCTCCTGCCTTCAAGTCTTACCCTTCTGATACAGCTCCCCACCCACCCACCCCGCCTTGCTCCCCGCTGTGAAGACCAGAGAACAGGGAGGCAAGAGAGAGGTTAAAGTCTCAGACGACACTGGGTTCAGAACACGGCTGGCGAGTGACTTAATCTCTGTGGGCTCCCTTTTTCCCCACTGCAGGATGAGGCCAGTTCTGGTCCCTCCCAGCAGGGGCAGGGTGGGGAGGAAGGGGTTAACACCACTGTGCCCGGAGTGCGGCTGGCACACCAGTGCCGTCATGAGCACCTTCTTCACCCCTGTGGGATCTCACTGGCAGCCCCTGTGTGAGGCGCGCCAGAGGGCAAGCAGGTCCTCCAAAAGACACCTGTTCTATTCTCTGACGTGGTTCCGTAACTGATTAAGCACTGTGCAAACACGCGGTTTAAAAAACAAAAATAAGCTTGTTGTTTGACGTATTTCCCTCTGCACCTGTTTAGATAGTTGCAGGTTCGAGGGCTGCTGCCTCAAAATAGTGTGGGCTTCCCTGGTGGCTCAGAGGTTAAAGCGTCTGCCTGGAATTCGGGAGACCCAGGTTCGACCCGAGTTGGGAAGATCCCCTGGAGTTCCCGAGGAACTGGCAACCCACTCCAGTACTCTTGCCTGGAGAATCCCATGGAGGGAGGAGCCTGGTAGGCTACAGTCCATGAGGTCGCAAAGAGTCGGTAAACTGATTAAAACTATTAAAAAATACATATATAAGGACACGAACTGTGTGAAGAAATGGACATACACATTATAATTAGTACTGAGTTTAGAACCGCTGACTTTTGCTTCTGGATCTGTAAACATCTTGGGTCCCACAGGGCTGACGGCCGTGGGGCCTGCGGCGGGTGGGTCCAGGGCTGGCCATGGCGGTGGCCCTCCTGGCCCCCGCTGTCCTTTAAGAGCTGAAACCCGCTCGGGCGCCCCCTTCGCAGGTGACGGGTCAGAAGGCTCACCTGTGAAGGGGGCTGCGGGCTGAGACCACTCCACCCGGGGCCTCTTCGCCTGTCTGGCTCTTGGGCCCAATTCGGCCATTTTAGGAAACGAGATGCTCTGTTTCACCTGCTCTCAGCGGGGCGGCCGCGCCCACCGTGAACCCCAGCGGAACGCGATGCCCAGTCATGAGGCCGCTTTCCTCCTGCCAGGAGGTCTGGACACTCACAAAGCCCCATGGTTTGTTTTGCCAAACTGCACATACATTGAATGGAAATGTTTGTTTTCCATGTCCCGCTTTACGTCTCTGCAGACAAGTGATTAAAGAGTAATTTCAAGGGCACTTTTTCCGCTCATCCCCTCTAACCTGCTTACATCAGGCTGCTCCACTTCCTGCCTTTTAACTTATGTTTCTGTCGGCGTATCATCCACTCTTCTTTGTTGACCTTTCCGTGAACAACGCTGCTTCAAAACCCTTCTTCAAAGGAGAGGTCAGGGTGAAATGTCACTGGGAAGGGTGCCAGATGGCCAGTAGCCAGGGGCACCAGCTCCAGAGCTGAGCCTACCTGTTACTCGGGTGCCAAAGGAAGGAGGCTGGACCCCTGGACCTACCGCCAGCCTTACCCACACCCCAGAGAAGCCGGGTCCACCAGCCCAGAGTCCGGGACCCTCCGTCCAAGAGCTGCTCACAGAGCACCCACTGCACGCACGCCCTGTCAGGAACTGCAGGCGACAGAGAAAGCTCTGTGCTCCCTGCTCTGAAGGCTCGTTTCACAGAGAGAAGGGATCTGTTAAAAAAAACGTACAGAGGGAACACGCGGGAGGACTTCCAAAAGGCGGAGGTGGGGGAGGCTGGAAGAAACCAGAAAGGTTACTGCACAGAAGAGAAGACGGCTGAGATGGGGCTGCAGTGGGGGGAAGGAAGGACATGGAGGATGTGCTAAACCACTGATACTGGAGGCAAGAGACGGAAACGCGGCCAAGGCAACTGACATCTCAAGCCCGGGAGATCGAGGACCATAAACAGGCAACATCAGGAGTACATTTTCGGGTGCAAAAATCTAAGTTCCTGCATTCCAGGTGAGAGTGAGACCCACATAAGATGCTGTGACCTGACGTTCTGGCTCCCCAGTCCCCTCTGCTCTGGTTTATAAAATACAAGTGATCGGAGGTACCTGAGAGCCATGTGGTAGCCACGTGGGGGCCCTGAGCAGCAGACTCCCCTGATGTGGAGAAAAGGGTGTGACTCCATGTGTCCCCCGGGGCCCCACCCTCCCCCCTCCAAACAAGGCCAGACCACAGGCGGGACGCCACTCACACCAGCCTGCCACGTGAACAAGGACAAGTAATGGCTCAGTGTAAGTCTGCCCCAAGTGTATCAGGACTTCGTTCCAAATGCTGCCCATAAATCCTTTTTCAGTATTAAAAAAGTTAATACTAAAATGGATCCATCGATTGTCTACAACTCAAGTTTCTCTGCATGTCCAAATTTAACTGGGCATCCAACCAGTCTTATTTGCTTAGCCTGGTGACTCCCAGCCTGGTGTTCACGGCCCAGGCCTGAGCACCTCGCTCCCACCCCAGACCCTCCTTGCCCCTGACCTCAGCTCTGACCCACAGATGGCCTCTCTGCAAAGGCCTTGCCCCGCCGCCAAACATATTGTGCGTGGAGGACGCCCCCATCACAGATCCAAAAAAGGACAGAATCTGCGAGAAAAGGGAAAACCGCCAAGTATACGAAATATATCGGGGAAAGAGAGGTGGGGGGCTCCTGACAGCATACGAGTGGGTCTTAGAAAAGACTGGCTAAAAGTGAGCAGTTTCAGGAGGGATGAAGCAGCTTTAGTTCTCAGGGGGATGAAGATAGCTGCTAAGAGCCTGGCATCCTCTCTAGTCGGCTTAATCACAAAGAAATGGGTCCTCGGCCGGCAGCCTGCACCTTCACAGTGTCTGCAGGGAACCAACCCCCCGGAAGGTGGCCCACAAGGGTCAGCACTTGGGTGACTCGGCCAAGTGCCCATGGCAGCTGACCAACGTCTGCTGAGTGAGCGAATGAGGGAGTGAATGCATGAATCTGGACTTCTCAAAGAACTTGTTCAATGAAATTTGAAATCTCATTTAATCACTGAAAAATCCGAGTCTAGGGTAAATCTTCCACTCCTTGGCACACCTCACCAGAGCAGCTGATAATCTTTGCTCTTTAAACCAGTCTGTCAGCTGAGAATTATTTGTACTACGAGGTACAAGCACCTGTGCTGGGTCTAAACCAAACAAACGAACCTGAGTACCTGCCCGTCCACTCGACGAAGCACCTGTTAGGATTCACACGCAGAGCCGAGGAGCAAGGCCACCCCCTCCCAGACAAGGGAGAACCTCTGTCCCAAAACTTTTTTTTTTCCTACAGTCCTTTGTGTGACCATTGTAGCCGGTCTTTAGTTACGGGAGCGCTTAATCAAACAAACATCTGAGAACACCACAATTTTCTTATTTATACATAAAAGTATTATTCAACCCTGTTCCAATTTCCCTTGCTCTGGCTTGGAAGGTGTCCCAAGGACGCCCTAGCCAAACAAGAAACTTCAAAAAAACGAGGACAACGTATATTTTTAAAAGAAGGTACTGCACACTGTTTCCCAGATAAATCCCTGGGGTATTTTGAGTATTTTATAAAGAAACTTTGGCTCTGCTACTATGAACTTCCCATTCTGCTAACAGACCAATAACTTAGGGTTTACAGACACGTTCAAACCTGGACAGTGGACACTGGGTGGAGCCCTGGGAGACAATTCACCTGGCGTCCGACAAACCTGCTCTTGCTTCTGCTGCTAAACGTTCAAGTATTTCATGATGGGGTAAAAAAAAAAGGGGGGGTAAAAGCGAGTTTAATGCACAAATCTAGCCAAAGGTTTTTCATACCAATGTCTGAAGAGTTAAAATTCAAAGAGGTATATGCTGGTTAGTAGAGTAACGTGGCTTTTCAGACTCTGTCCTCGCGTGGGGGACATAGGTGCCAGCTCGGGTCATCCCCCCGCTGCCCTGCAACCTCCAAGGAAGGACACATCCACCCACAGCTCCCCATTCTGGGCTGGAGATACATGTTTATCATTAATTTTCAGCAAACGTCATCAAGGCTCTGTGCTGCCTAGAACTGCCGTGAATAAGAGCAAACATTCGCAGGAAGGGCAGAGTCAAGGAAGACAGGACTCTCTTCGGCGGGGGAAAAGGCCCACACAACCGTCTCAGTCCTAACACTCGGGGTTGGTCGCTGCATCATGTCACTGTTTCCTGGGGCCCCCAGTCTCCGCTAAAGGCTAACAACACCAATCTCAGATCAGACCTATAGGACCTCCCGGGGCTGCAGGATGCAGACTTGGAAGCCACCTGTTTGGGGTCACCAGCTCCCCTGTGCCGCCAAGGACCCGTTAGATGCAGGCACGTAATCTTCCTAGATGACAAACATGCTGGGTCTGTCGACATCAGGGAGTGAACGGAGGAAGGAAGAGTACAGCCAATGGGAAGCAGCACGCACTGATCAGGAGCTGAGAGTGCAGCCCCCGGCTAATGCCTCCGGTTGGCCACTCCCCTCACCCAGGCCCCTGACAGTCAGACAGGCAGTGTCCATCTGAAGGATGCAGGTGCCGGGCTGGAACCCCTATCCGTCCGGGAATACAACTCCCGCTCCTCCTGCCTCCATCCTGGCAGCTCTAGTGGGAGCTGCCCTCGCCCCAGCTAGTAACCTCCACTGCTGAATCTCTATCGATCGTATACGTGCATGTTAGTTGCTCAGTCCTGTCTGACTCTGTGACCCCATGGACTGTAGCCCACCAGGCTCCTCTGTCCATGGGATTCTCCAGGCAAGAATACTGGAGTGGGTTGCCATTCCCTCCCCCAGGGGATCTTCCCGACCCAGGGATCGAACCCAGGTCTCCCGCATGGCAGTCAGACTCCTTACCCTCTGAGCCACCAGGGAAGCCCAATTTTAAATGCCAATATGAACCTTCACAAATTATCAACAGAGCAACAAAGGTCAACTCTAGAATTCAACTGCAGTTCCACACCTAACATGGTCTGCTGTCCTGAGGGCTGACACGGCTACGGTGCGGTGACCCTGAGAGTCACGCCTCTCCTCTGGACCGCCCCCTCTGCAGCTGACTCCGGTGACCTGGCGATAGTCCAGCCCATCTGGGTTGGGGTCAGAGAAGTGAGAACGGGGCACTGACTGCAGGGGAGTGGACGGGGTGGAGGAGGACGCCCTGGAGAGAGCCAAGGAACCTTCCAGACTGTGGTTCCGAGAGCGGGCTCCTCATTCAGATGAGAGGGTTGTGCCCAGCTCGCTTCAGGGGGACCCCAGGGTGTGAACAAGATGACTCGGGTGGGCGCCACGGACACCAAGCGTGTCCCACTCCCCCGAAGCTCACGCAGCCCAGACTCGGAGAGCCAAGAACAGAAAGAAGGGTATCTCGGTCACATGGGGCAGCTCTGGCCAGAGTCCTATCCCTGGGGAGGCTCACAAAGCATGCTTTGTACAGGGGCCTGTCCCATGACAGCGTTCCCAGAGATTCGCGATAACCCTGGGCCCACAGGCCAGGACAATCACACCCTTCTCGCGTCCACTTTTCCTTTTCCGCCCCCGCTCCTTCTGGGCCTGTGGGTGACCAGCTGCGGAAAGCACTCTGCTTTCATCCTTTATGCTGAGACCCCTGCAAGTCATGGCGAGGGCCCAGCCCACCGCCGGGGCAGGCCGGGAACCCGGGGACCGCCTCGCCCTCCTCTCTTTCTGCTGGCACTACCAGAAGGGGCGCTCCCAAATCATCCCCTCCCAGCCCTCTGAGGTGCTCTCCTCCGCCCGAAACAGAAGCTGAGCCTTCTTCGAGGCTTGCAGACTAGCAGTTTCCCCTCTCCTGTAACACAACCCTTGTCGGATTCTGCCCAGAGAGCAGACATTCGAGATACCTGAACCACGGCTGCACAGTCGAAGCCTTTTTGCAGATCTGACCGTCTGCCGTCCTCTGTCTTCTGCTGACCCTGACGCCACCTAGACCCCACAGCTGAGTGCGCACGGCCGGATGCAAGGGCGTGTTATTTTCACACGCACACATCTGCATGCCTAAATAGGAGCGCTGGACCATCTCCAATCCTGTCCACCAAGGCAAAAACTAAAGGACCTTGGGCAGAAAGCCCGCCCTTCAAGGGGCTCCTGGAAGTTGAGACCCAGGAAAGGTGGCCAGGCATCCCAGGGTATGTCTCCAGGCTGGTCCACCCCAGAGGCAGCGAAGTCTGAGGAGCAGCGGTGGACGGAAGGGGGCCTGGAGGCAGAGAGAAACCCATGTGTGGGACATGCCTCTCCCCTGCTACTACTTTCGGGAAGACGAGGGCACCGCGAGGACCCACTCACGCTAGGAAAGCAGTGATGCTTCGGTATCCAAGTCTGGTGGTTCACGTGAATGCCGGTCACCAGGTGGGTTTTTTTGTTTGTTTGTCTGTTTTAATAACAGCCACTCTGCTCCTTCGAGTCATACTCCACGTTTTTGGGCTCACACAGGCCGAGTGGCACTTCTCAATCAAAACCTTCATCAGTGTCCTAACTCAAGAGCTTCTGTTTTCTGCTGCATCAGATTTTTACTGTCCAGGAGGGACAGTATAAAGGTAGTTTACACTGTGGACACTACACTGCTGCAGGGAGCTCTTTAGAGTCTCCACCATCACAGAGCGTCTCCCATTTCCTGCCGAGGGCCGAAACCCCCAAAGCGAGTATCCTGACCAGATCCCTTTCAAACCCAGAAGCAGAGAGCGTGGCCCTGAGGTCAGGGCTCAGGGGTCAGGGTTAGGGTTAGGACTTGCTCAAGGTCACTCCGTCTGTAGCCTGGCCTGCGACAAGGAGGTTTCTGGTCTTGCAAGTCCCTCTAACTGCTGGGGAGGCCTGCCTGGGACATTTCGAGGGGGGACCCCAGGGCCAGGCAGCAGGGTTCCAGCCCCAGCCCCTGCGGCCCTCACGCCACCACACCTGACCCCCAGAACATCCACGACACTCCTCTTCCTGCCACAAGTCAGCCCTCGGCTCATCGTGGAGATGAGCCACGAGTGGGTGGGGGCCGGTCCACCCTCCACACACAGTCTTCACACCTTAACACACGTCTTAACCTCCTCGCTGGCTGCTTTCCTGTGCTGTCACGACCAGGCCCGCTCAGCAGACAGACATCCCCTCCGCCAACGTGATGAGCGTCAAAAAGCAGAGGGATTATTCAGGGCCCAGCCCCGAGGTCTCACCCATGTAACATGCTGCTCATCCTAACACCTGGTGAGACACATAAATAATGAGTGTGTCTCCAGAGACAGAAGAGTGGAGGAAAGCTGTTCATAAGACACTTTGCAAGAGGCACCAGGAATTAAATCTGATTTTGCCTGAGAAAGAACACTGTGGTGGGACTTTACAAAAGAAGCTACTAATGGCCATGGGATCAAGGGCAGGGGTCAGTCCCCCACCTCGACCCCAGCCAGACCCTGCCACAGCCACTGCCGTCCACAGCCCTCCAGGAACATCCGATCCTGGCTCATGGTTTTTTACAGAAGTGATCACAAGTCCCAGATTTTAAAGAAAAAAACATCAATGATGTTTCTATGTACGATTTAGCCTTCCAATGAACACATGGATCAATGAGCCAGGTAACAAAGCAAAAATAAAAACCCAACTACAACTGAATGTAATGATACTCCACTTCCACCACTGTGCCCCTCGCTATCTCCCCGGGAGGGGGGGATCATTTAGACTGGGGAATTCCAGGGGGGCGTCTCCACGCCATGTGCAGTGAAGAAACAGGCCACCTTCAAAGCTTGCTGAGAAGAAGCTGATCAGATTGGGGGCCATGCTTGCCTTCCATCCCCCAACACAAATCCACGCACCGTGCAAGAAGCTCCCACCTGAACGGCCGTCGAAGACCGCCAAGCTGCCCCTGACCATTCAAAGGCCAGTGGCCAAGGCCACACCCCTGGGGCCTCAGGCCTGCCGGGGGAGGATGGACCCACACCTGAGCGCCTATCCATTCCGGAAACTTCCCCCGAAGCCGACAGAATGGAAGTGCAGGGGCTTCGCACCTGTGCACCCACCCAAGCCCACACCCTGCTTCACCAGGTGGCATCCTGGGCTGAGGTCTCGGGAGCGGGGAGCCCTGACACCGTGCCTTCCGGCCGACCCAGCTCCAGGAACACCGGACCCATAATGAAAGGTCCTGACACCCTCTCTTCCATTAAGAACCTCCAGACCAGGAGAGAAGAAGGGGCAGCCTCTCCTTAGCCCCACCGCAGCCTCCGGGGATACCCTACATTCCAGTCCATGCCTCCTCCATCGCCTCCTCTGTCACCACCCCTGGGATGGGTTCTTCTCTGGACAGAAACCTCCAAGAGCCCGAAGACTAACCGTCTGCACACCAACCCGCCCTAGAGCTCACAGGCATGAACGCCAGGCAATGTTCTAAACTCACTTTACATCCTGAATCCTCAGCACGGCCTGCAACGTGGGGGCTATTACTGTCCCCATTCTCCACATGGGGAAACTGAGGCAGGGGGCTGCCGGCAGGCCCACACACGGAGTTCTTGCGGCTCTTTCCAGGCCATCCTGTCCCCTCCCAGGGCCTCTCCCCAGCTGGAGCTCCACCCCTGCAGCCTGACTCACCACTTCCTCTCTGCTGTTGGCGGCAAACAGATAACCAGGCCGGTGGGAGATGAATGGGCCCTGGCCCCTCCCATCCCAAGGGCGCAAAATAAACGGTTCAGGAACAGCAAGTGCTTGGGTTCCTGAAAGGACATCTTTTGAGCGTCTGCTCCACACCACGCTCCGCTCCGGGTGCCAGAGCCTGGCCTCAGGGGACTGTGGTCCAAGCACCGCTGAGGTCTCCTTGACGAGGTCCAGCTGTCGGGAGTTTGACAGATGCCGGCGACCCGAGAGGACGGGGAACTGCTAGGAACTCTGCCCCGGCCTTCAGACGCAGACCTGCGGGCCTGGGAGATCCCCGGGTCTGTGTGCAGGCATCTGAGACACTGGAGGGCTGACTTCAGGATGCGAAAGGCCCTGGGATCTCACGCAAACTTACACACTTAATGCACCTGTATTCCTCTTCTCCCTCCTGACGTCGCCCCTGCGGCCACATCTGCCCAGCCCGCACCGACACATGTTTCAGTTGTGGGTGGAGGGCGAACTGTAGCAAAGAAGAGGCCACGTGGCACAAGGCAACATGGGTCTCCTGTTCTGTGCACCATCTGCCCAGGCATGGTGAGGCTTGCCCCCTAGGTTTAAATTTCTATGTTTATTAGTGTACACTCTGCAGGTCTAGGCACTAAGAGAGTCTGCATGGAGCGGGATGAAGCCCACGGGCCACACTCATGTTAAAGTGAGCTGTGGAGCCCTGCTGGCTGGAGGCAGTCAGGGGTGGGGGTGGGGGGGGAGTTGGGCGGTTCTAGAAGAAGTCCCTGCGCCATCACTCGCTGGAACTGGGGACGGTGCTGCTTCCTCCTGCAGAGCCTCAGAGCTCTCCCTCCGTCCTGGGTGCCGGCGCCTCGCCCGGGCAAGACAGTGTTTCCGGCCTGTGCACAGCCACACACCTTGCTGGAATGGGAGACCCTGCCAGGGGGGCGAGGGCACTGAGCCAGCAGCCCCCAGGAGGCTCCAAAATCTCCCGCCACCCGGAGGCTCTCCAGGAGATTCTGGGAGCTGCAGGCAAGTTCACGGTGGCTGAGCCCTCGCCAGAACTCATCAGACCACAGACCCGAGTCTTTCAGGGATGAGGACTGAATCCTAGTGCAAATTACATCCGATGATTTTCCAAAATTCTGCGTGCATCAAACTGACACTCACGAGACGCTCTTCCCGGTTCAATACAAATTACTCAAAGAATTGGGGAATGTTCTTGCCTAAAATCTCCTAAGATTGCCCTCAAGGGAGAAAGAAATGTCTTCCAACAAAAGTTTTTTCTACAAAGACCAAACTTGCTGCTAAAAATTTGAAGTGATAGATTTATGGGGGACACATTGTATGCATGCTTGCTAAGTTGCTTCCGTCGTGTCTGACTCTTTTGGCAACCGCCTGGACTGTAGTCCACCAGGCTCCTCTGTCCATGGAATTCTCCAGGCATGAACACTGGAGTGGGTTGCCATTTCCTCCTCCAGGGGATCTTTTCCACCCAGGGATCTTACCTCTCCTGAATTGGCAGGTAGGTTCTTTACCACTAGCAACACCTGGGAAGCCCCTGGGAGATATGTTATGCGATTACAATTACAGATTATCTCCTATTTCACATAATATTAACATATATAACAGTATAAAATCAAGTTCCTGAGGATTCTTCTCAAATAGTAACAACAGTGGTGATATTTGTAACTTATAAATGAATTTTAATAAGACTATAAATTAAGCACTCTCAGTTCTTAAATTTAGTGAGAAGCAAAGTAAGTAAAACAAGTCACAAGAAACAAGGACAGATATGTGTACACTGTTTCAATAAACTAGGCAATTTATCCTGTTCCAGTTCTCTTGTCACTGCGCTTTTGTTCCATACAATCAATTCCCTTGACTTACAGTTGTTTGAAGAATTAAAACAATAAATTACATATACAGATTTGTAAGTTACAAAATACTAATTTTTTTAGCAAAAAGATTCAAACACTTCTCAAACAAGAGAACAAAATCCATTCAACCTTTTCAAGAAGAACGATTTAATGGTATGCTATTGCTAATATTGTATTTTCAACGCCCTGCTCAATTTTAATCCATCAGACCTCATAGTCCAAAAATTAATGTCTCCAAGAAGAGTGTTTTTTCTTACTCTTCTTCCCACAAATCCTCAACTCTGAAAGAGAAGGCTCACCTTTCAGATGGGCTATTCCTCCAATCACACTGAATAAAAGTCAAAGTGCTGAAATTAACAAATGTTTGGGCCATCCCTGGGAAAAAAAAATCACACAGCCCAGCCAGGCCACCTTCAAAATGCCAGCGTATGAGGTCAGCTTAGGACAGAGCGACCCAGGTCTGCATCAGCAGCAAACCACCCCGGGAATGCACACAGATCCTGCCTTGTGCCCCTGTCTGCTTTCTGGGGAGTCATCACACAGAATAATGTCCACTTCAGTCAGAAAACCTCAGTCACCACTAAAAGACACCTTTACCCTCCACTGTCTTTGTCCAAACCAGGGTGGACAGAGAATTCCTCCGAGGCCCCAGTCCAGCCCCTGGAAAACTCCCAACACTACGGAGGAGGGGAAGGTGGACAGGCAAGGCGGCACGCCCAGGCCCAGCTCTCTCTGCAAACTTCAAGTCACCCCCAGGGCTGTCTGTAAGGCCACAGAGAAGAGTAAGAATTCTCAGAGCATACGCAGGTCCACTAACATGTGCTATGCGGGGGAAGGTTCATTTTCATCTCTATATAAACATGCCTGTCCCCGGGTGTGCACCTGAGCCGTGCCAGCTTATCTCCCCTTAGAGACTGAAGCCAAAGAACAGACGGCCGCCACCCTCAGGAACACCCGGCCGCAGGCCCCAGCAGCCCTTCCCCAGCCCAAGGGATGCCTTCCCCAGGGGCCTCCAGAGCCCTGTGTGGAACAGGCTCTGCAACCCAAGTGCCGGCATCCTTTTGAAGGAGGAACGAAACGCCCTCAGCGGGGTAGGCACCGGCGGCTGTAACACGCAATCCCTGAGACCAGGGTCGTTCCTCCAAGCCAGCTTCCGGAATGAGACGCTGCATTATTAAAGGGCTTTCTAAGTCAGAAACACGGTGGCAGACAGCCTATAGTATAGCTTGGTAGCACTGATGCTCGAAGATGAGAAGCTTCTGGCAAGTCAGGCAAAGTTCCCAACAAGAGGACAGGTCAGGCCGGTGCAAAGAGCCTCAGACACAGAGCACGTGAGAGGCTGTCATCTCACTCACCCCATCCGTGAAGAAGCCTAGTGGCCAGACCCAGGAAAACCCCTTCTTGCAACAAGACCTGATTATTCCCAAAACAGAAATGTCACAGGGTGGTTTGCACCAAAGCACAAAAGGTGGTACGTGTCTATACCAAAAGAAGCCCCAAATAAACCCCAAATCAAGATGCCAGGGCAGAGTTAATTAAAAATAATTTAATATTAAATTTAAAATAATGTCTTGTTCTTTCCACTCGCCAAAGTGTTACTACATAGCTCAAAGGCAACCCTCCTTTTTTTCTATCTTAGCACAGGTTATTTTTTTAACTTTTTTATTTTTTATTGGGGTATAGCTGACTAACAATGCTGTGATAGCTCCAGGTCGACAGCCATACTCATACATGTATCCATCCTTCCCCAAACTTTGCTCCCATCCAGGCTGCCACATAACACTGACCAGACTTTCCTGTGATGTACACTAGGTCCTTGTTGGTTATCCATTTAAAGACATCCCCCCAGCTCGCCTTTGCCCCGCTTTAAACTATACTGCGGTTTCACTAATTATAAAAATAATTATTTCAACAAACATTTGCTAAGCACTCGTTCAGAGGCTACATGCCCAGCAGTGAACAAAACAAAGCCTGATTTTAAGTGTTTTCTTTCTGTACAAATACAGGCATCTCCTTGAGATAACACTGAATATAAAAAATTGAATCCAAGTTTTTCACTTTTAACAGTAAAGTTTTTCCCATAAGAGCAGATGTTCCCTGAAAACACCACTTTTATTGACTACATAATATTCCATGTGAACAGTGTCATAATTTACCCAAAGATATTTTCAAATGCTCACTGACCTCATGATAAAAACACAAACAAGAGATGCAGCTAAACACAGTATGTTAGACCCAGATTTAGGACCTTAACAGGGGAAAAGGAGGACATACAACCTTACCGATCACAGACCGAAGGCAAGTATACGGTTTCGGCTTCCCCGTGGGCCACGTTAAGGCCTAATTCGTGAATCTCCCTTTTTTATAAGCCCTACTCCCTCTTTGATCCAAGAGAACATTGTCTGCACAGAACAATACGTTTTCATTTTAATTTCCCTTCTTTTCAGGAAAGGAAATGTTTGCACTTCAAAGGGTTCCTTTGAAGAGCAGCCCCCGGCCCTGGCCCGTCCAGGTTAGGAGTTCCGCGGCCCCAGCGGGGCGTGCAGAGTCTGGGCGGCTGCCCACCGCAGCCCCTCTCCAGGCCAGCTCCTTCAAGGAGAGGGTCTGGTGCGGGAGAAGAAAAAACAAACATTGGAAAAATACTCGAGGCTTTTGATCGTGGCCTTCAGAGGCCCTTTCTCACACAGTGTGGATTTCACAGCCCGGGGAAACTGAGGTACAAACCCCGGGGAGCCAGGTCCTAAGAAACCAGCCCCACCCAGTGAGGAGGTCTTCTAAGCCAGCGAAGAGTGGAGCACCGGGGGCGTTGCTGGTGATGATCAAGGGGACGTCTGTGATAACCGAAACGCACGGGTGAGATCCATGCCTCATCCAGCAGTTTGGAACCTTCCCCGGGAACCTCAGCAAAGACTAGGATGCACAATTTAGGGTGTCCCCTCTTCTCTCTCCCCTGGCCTCTCCGGCAGGCCCGTGCCCCTACCCTCTGCTGAGTCTGGGGAGCCAGGGCTGCACAGCAGACAAGAGAGGGCCTGCAACATTTGTTTTCAAGTCGTGAACAAGTTCTGGGTATTTAATAATGATCTCCACCCTTCCCCACCCCGAGGGGGTTAACTGCCTATTCAAGTGGGCCACCGGCCAGAGGATGGGCAGGGGCGTGAAAGCTTCGACTCCAGACAGGGCGCCCGCTGCCCTGAGGCCCCAGGTCTCTGCTCAGGGCTCCCGCCCTGCGTGTTCGGGGTGCAGGTCTGAGGGATCAGGTCGCCCTGAACTGAAGACTTCCGACCATCCACCTTCCTGTGAGCCCGCTAACCTGCGGGGCGCGTGGGCTCTGTGCTGGAATCACAGTGGTGTTCATCTCCTCCTCCTTATACTTCTCTGTAGTTTCCCTGTTCTTCACAATAATGCATTCTAACTTTTAGAAACATTTTTTCCCTAAAGAGGCTTATAAGATAGAAAATGAGACCACAGTTCCATTGAAAAAGCCTCTCCTGAAAAAGGGAACAGAAAGAAACAAACTACTTATGCGTACATGTAAAGGACATTTTTGAACAACGGAAAGTTGACTGTGGACTGTGGACTAGATGACAATGTCATAACGTTAAATTTCCTGGTTTTGATGTCATACTGTGCTCACGTAAGAGAACGAGAAAAACCTTATCAGGAAACACATTGAAGCTTGCAGGGGGGTAAATCAAATGACATGATGTCTTCGACTTACTCTCATAGGGTTCAGGAAAAAATACATATATGTGTGTGTGTAGATTAACTGATTGACAGATAAACAGAAAGAAGGAACAAAATATAAGCAATGGGTGACTTGAAAAAACTGAGGAGCTCCTGTAACTCCTGCAACCTTTTTCTTTTAAGTCGGAAGTGTCATGAAAAGTTGAAAAGTGAAGGAAGAGCGGAGAGAGGCAGGCAGGGTTGGGGAAGAGCCTCCCACCCGACCTGGCTGCACTGGAGGCCTCACTGCAAGGCCAAGGCCCCGGCCACTGGGGCCCAGTCTCTCCAGGGAAGACGCGCCCTGCGGCTACCCTGGCTCAGACAGCCCTCGTCCCCAGCGTCCTGAGGGTGTCAAAGAAGCATCTCACAAGGAAGGAGACCCCGCCCCACCTCCTGCACTACTGAAGTAAAGATCTGGGCCCAAGGACCACTGCCACCGGCCTTGAGAAGGGGGCAGAACCAAGAGGGAAACCACGCTTCCCTACAAATCAGAGCCCCTGCAGAGGGCCCCCTCCCCAGCAGAGCTGGAGGGGGAGCAGAGAGGACCGATGCAGACCAGAGAAGCAGGGCTCCCCGGGGCCTGGCTGGAAGTCCCACGTCCAGCCGGCTCTGGTGATGCCAACACCAGACTGCTGACCCAGAAAGAATGCGGCCCAGCCTGTGTCACACACGCGCCAGCGCCAGGCCTGACCACTGGCCAGCACAGCTGTCCCAGGACACCAGAGGTCCAGCTGCGCCAGGAGCCGGGGCTCAGAGAGAAGAGAGCTGCACTCCAAAGATGCGGGGGCAGATAGAGAAATAACGTGGGCCGCCATGCAGCGGTGGGACAGCCGGCTCCCGCGCCCCCGGGACTTACCTGGAACCCAGAGAGCCCGGGGGCCTGGCATCTCCAGGTCCATGTGCTTATCTCAGGGCCCAGCGCGGGCCCGCGCACACACGGGTGCAGACCACAGTCCCGAGACGGCCACAGCCCCAGACAGGGGGTGATGCCCACGGCCCTGGGCACAGTGTCAGGACCCCGGGGCCAGGTCCCAGAGGCAAATCCACGCTCTGCCGCTTATCACCCACCCCTGCGCCCGTTGACAACTTGCATCCCTTCTCTGGGCCTCCTCACCATCAGCCAAACAGCAGGCCTGACCTCACCGGGTGGCTGTGAGGATTAAATAAAAAACACAGAAAGCGCGCAGCCCACGGTGAGCGCTCACAAGGGCTTGTAGTCTGAGTCTTACTCAACCTCAGGGCCTCTCCCTTCCTTCCTACTTGGTCTAAGAGACTTTGGTTAATGGTACTGGGTGTGAAGATAAAAAGATCCAGAGAAAGAGAGCGTTTCCAAGCAGACCTGAAAAGGTCACCGCAAGCATCTTCACGGGCGGGAAGATGACGGTGACAACCCTGTGATGAAACACCAGTCAGACCACGGTCCCTCCTTTTCCTTCACCAGCACCCCTAGTGATGGCCCGCCACCCCACCCCACCCCTCTCAAGGATCTACATCACCCCTCCAGGAAGGAGGAAAAGCGGTGGGAAACAGACGTGGCCCAAGTTTTTAACCCCAAAGCCCTCAGGGTAACTTGGACAAAATGTCTCAGGTTGGGATGGATGAGCGTAAACACCTTCCAAACAGACACACATGCACACCCTTTCTCACTCACACACACACATACGTACGTGCACACAGACACGCACAGGCAAACACTGAGAACGGGGCTGGGAGTTCTGCCTCCCAGAGGCACGGAAAAAAAGGGGAAGTGTTAGTCACTCAGTCATGTCTGATTCTCTGTGACCCCACGGACTGTAGCCACCAGTCTCCTCTGTCCAGGGGGAGAATACTGTCCAGTCAAGAATACTGGAGTGGGTTGCCATTTTCTTCTCCAGGGGATCTTCCCCAGCCAGGGATTGAACCCGTGTCTCCTGCATTGCAAGCAGATTCTTTACCATCTGAGCTACCAGGGAAGCCACGCTGAGGCGTGAGGAGGGTTCAAACCCAAGGCTGTGGGTCTGAGATCTGCGGAACCGGCCTCCCTGACACCAGGCCCTGCGCCACCCCCTGCCGTGTGGACACAGCTTCAAGGAGAAGGGACTACACGCTAACATCTCAGGAAAGCGGTTTGCAACAGCAAAACAAAGCTGTTGCAGATTTTGTTTTCCTCCATGCTGAAATCAAGGAACTGAGCTTTCTCTCCAACATAACAGCGAATATTTACATGAAGCCTTGGTATGTGTCAGAGTTGTGTGAGGTGCATAACCTGGATTATGGCCTCATTTAAATCCCCTCAACCCTACACAGTGGGTACTAGAAGTCAATTACTATGCAGGCAATACAGAAAAGAATTTAAATGTGGCTCTGAGAAACATCTCGGAAAAAGGCATTTTAGAGATAAGTGGAGCCCACTCTGGGGCAGGGGGCCGTGAGGAGAGCGGGGGTTGGGGGCCGCCCGGGGCTGGCACCGTGAGCGGGTCCCGAGGCAGAGCCCGCTGTGTGCCCAGCACGCGCGGTCAGCCTCTACTCCTACGTAAGTAGGAAAGCACTTGGTGGATCTCCTACACAGGAATCTTATCTGCATAGATATTTGGAAGAAAGCTCTAGGGCAGGAAGACAGACTGTTATGGACACAGCTGCGTCCAGGGGGGAAAGGTGATTCTGGGAAAAGGGAGACGGTGTGGAAATCCACACTGTCCTGCTTGTCGCAGGACCTTCTTTCTCCCTCCTCTGTTTAAACCCACCTCTCGGGAGCCCGTGAAGCCTTTCTGGAGCTTGACTTCTGGTTGCGCTTATCAGAAGAGGAGGCTGGCAGAGGAAAGGACTTATTTCATGAAAGACACTAAATGTGTTGACTTAGTACCTCTCTTTATGGGGCTTCCCTGGTGGCTCAGATGGTAAAGAATCTGCCTGTCAATGAAGGAGATACCGGTTCGATCCCTGGGTTGGGAAGATCCCCTGGAGGAGGGAATGGTAACCCACTCCAATATTCTTGCCTGGAGAATCCCAAGGACAGAGGAGCCTGGAGGGCTATAGTTCACGGGGTCGACCCCAGTCCATAGGGTCGCAAAGAGTCGGACACGATAGAGCGACTAACACTATAGTACCTTTATGCTTTCACTTCTGTTTATTCACTGCATTATCACAAGGCTGAAAGGGAGGATTCACATGTCTGCAGGGGCCATACCGCCCACAGGACCTTCTGGAGGCTGCACAGTTGCGACAGAGCTGGCTGCAGGGGCCTCAGGGGCCCCGCCCTCGGCAATGGACCACCAGCCCCAGCTCCTGGAAGCAGCATCCTCACTTCAGGGTGATGATCTGAGGCTGCACTGAAGCTGTAAAGCCTTCGAACTCCACACTGATGTGGTCTCTTCCCCGAATCTACCACTTGGCGGTGCCCCCTCCTCCCCTACTAGTGATAACAACCAGAGGAAAAGCCAAGTGACAGACCCGTGTGTGGCGTGATGGGGGACCTCAGGTCAGAATCTATTCCAACGTGTGGCCTGTGTCCCCTGGACGAGCGAATTGTTAATGCCTTTGCAGGGAAATGAGGACAGCAGCCCACCCAGTCCTTTCATGATGTGCTGCCCGTCCTTCTAGCAGCTTCACAGAAAGCACTGAACCCCCATGGTAGGCTGTGACTCGCTTTGCACAAGTGTAGGGGTGGGTGGTGTCAAAGCTACTTTGGAATTTGGGGGGAATACGGGAGTACGGAGAAAGAGAAGCTGCTGAAGTCAATACAGGGCTGCTAACCTGCCACCAAACAGGCTACTCTTCTCCCACTGGAAGTCACCTAAAACCCTGGGGGTGGATACAACCTCAGCCTAAAGCCCAGGGCCAGGGGCCTCAAGCCCAAGAAACCCCTGGAAGGCAGGCGTCCTGAAGGCCGGGAATGAAAAAGCAGGCCCACCCCATGGCCACAGTCCCTGTGCGGGGCCGCCCCACAAACCACAGCCCAGAAGCCCTCTGGAGGGCGCAGGGGAGCATGAGGAGGACGGGGCACCGCACATGGCTACAACAGGGCAGGTGGGGCTCAGTCCTGTCCGCGAGGATGCAAGGGTCTGAGAAAAGCCAGCTGTGCCTTTTACAAAGTCCTTCCCAACGCGCTCTTCCCAACCTCACCAGGACAGTGGCTCCGGTCTTCTGGGACCCACCTCTCCCACCTCACCTGGATTCTTCCTTTAAATCCACAGACGGAGCGAGGACACCAGCCTACTGATGGCGCAGAGCTCAACCAGTCACGTTTCTACCAGTTCCACCCTGGACAAGCTGCCACCGTCCAGCCCGCAGAGAAACGACGCACAGTCACTCTCGCTCGCGCGTAAAGAAGTTCGACTTGCCTTTCTTTCCCACACCTGACTACCAGCCTCTGCCCTGGCCTCCCTGCCTCTGTGCCCGCCCTTTCCCCTATCTCTTCTGCACACCGGGTCTGAACCCTTGCCCTCTGGGACAGCTGCCCACCACTCTCCGCCTCCCTGAGAAAAAAAGGTCAAGTCCTCTCGTCCTAGGGGCCTGCCCTCAGCTGGAGCAAACGGGGGAGGACCCGTCTGCAGGCGCACTCCAGAGGGAAGGATGGACATCTCAGAAGACGCCTATGGCCCAGATAACTCCCAAGTGTTACTCCCTCGTTCATGTCTGACTCTTTGTGACTCCATGGACTATAGCCTGCCAGGCCACTCTGTCCATGGGATTTCCTAGGCAAGAATCCTGGAGTGGGTTACCACTGCCTTCTCCAGGGGATCTTCCCAACCCAGGGATCAAACCTGTGTCTCCTTATTGGCCAGCAGATTCTTGACCGTCTGAGCCACCGGGGAAGTTCAGAGAACTCCAGGGTCAGAGGAAAATGTTTCTTCCCAAAACAAGGACACATTTATTCCGGCTTCAAATTCCTCCCTGGGATTAACAGACCAATACCTCCAAATACATGGTTAATAATGAAAGGGATTAATTTAATTAGACACAAGGCAGGGCCCTCCAACATAATTACATATTTTTACTGGCCTTAGTAGACAAGAAACTACAGACTAGAACAGTCAGTAGACATGTGTTTAATTCCATCAAAGAATGAAAGCTTCTACCAGATATAATTAACATGTGTCTTAAAAAGCAAGCTCCCCAAGGTCAGCAATCTCGTCTTTCAAGCCCTGTTTTCCTTTAAAGCAGATAATCATATGCATAAGAGCATCCATGTGGCTCAACCCAGATTTAAACAACTAAGAGTACATTTCTGATTTCTATTCACTCTCATCCTGTTCGAGTCAAAACTCCTCTGGCACGCTTTAGATTTTATCTCCAATAATTAAACATGATCTTAATATGCTAAAAGCTTTCAAAACTCTTTGAATCCATTGTTTACTTTATCCCCCTAAGTTTCTATTTCGACTGTGAGACTTAAGGCCTTTCGTTTTAATGACAGAGGGGTGTGTTCAACGTAAAAATAATAATTTCCACTGAGATCAACTAAAAATGTCAGGGGGGATAAATGTATCATGGTTTCCTATTATCGGAACCAGACACAAGTGGCAAGAAACGTTAAGATAAATCCCACATAAATTGCAATTCAAATTAAGCACAATGAGGACGCTCTGCCAGAGGCCAAAACACAGTTCTCCCGGGTCACATGTTTAAGAGCTCATTGAGGGAAATAGACCTAGGATGGAAACCCTGGCCCCCTCCTCTGTCGAGGAGTCTGGAATAAAACCTACTCCAGGTTACACCTGAGAGCCTGAGGGTGGGTGCTGGGCAGTGAGTGTGGTTTTCTTGCAGGGGCACTTGCCTGGCTGTCTAACCACACAGGTCAAGCACCTCTCCCCTCCGGTTCTCAGAACCACGGCAAAGGGGGAAGAGGGAGCGAACAGGGCACTCGGCCGTAGTACTACTAACAGCGCGTGGCTGCTGTGTACACACAGGTCTCAGGGTAACCGCCGGCCGCCTGGCCTGGGAAGTTTTCTACTACGTAGAAAGAAAGGAACACACGGAGAAGAGGTCGTCTCGGTGAAGCCGGAACTTCCTCCCACCAGAAAAAAAAACATACGGGAGCGGTGATCACCGGCCGGAGAGGCCAGTTCGGGTCACAAGGAAACCCACCCGGTGCGGGGGTGGGGGGCTGGAAACTTCCCCTAAGTAACCCACCGTGGGGGGCCGGGTGAGAGGTGGAGGCGGGCCAGGGAACTTCCATGGGGTCCAGGGAGGAATAGAGGTGGGCGCCACGGCCAGTGCGCGGGGTGCGCAGCGCCGTCCCCAACCGGCCACCTGCCGCGGGACCACCCCGCGACCCCCCCGGGGCTGGCTCCGGACGCGCGGCCGATGACACGTCGCGGACCTCGTGGCGGGGTGGGGTGCTCCGCTGTGCGCCATGTAAGGGAAGGTCTCCCGGATGCCCGCCGAGTCCTGTGCGCGCCCACCCGCCCGCTCCGGCCCCGTGACCACCGGTGCGTCCCGGCGCCCAGTGCCAGGAAGGGCACGCGTGGCACCCACCCCGAGGCTCCAGGGCTCCCACGCTTACTCACGGGGTGTTGCATCATGCACCACTCCGCGTCTTCAGGGAAGCAAAATGGATTCCGTATAGGAGACAGCCGCATGGGCACCGGCCGCGCGCACCGCCCGACCTCCTGCCAGCCCGGCCCGCGCGCCCACCCAGAGAATGCCAGTGCCCCCCACCCGACCCCACCCCGCGCGCGGACCCCGCGCTGCCCTGCCGCGGCCCCACGCAGCGCCGGGATCACCCCACCCCACCCCACCCCACCCCACGAAGGTGACCCGGACTCGGCAGGCCGGCCACTCACTGAACCGGCAGGGCGGCAGGATGCGGGCAGGACCGTCGCTGGACAGACGCACTAGGCAGGGCTGGACTGATGGACGCTGGGTCGGACGGAGGCGCAGCTGGACTGGACGGACGCTCGGCCGAGGATCGGCGGGACTGCCGGATGATCGGGCGGAGGTGCGGCGCGCGGGATCGGAGCCTGGGGTAACCGACAGCTGGTGGTCCCGCGCTCCGCTAGCAGAGGACCCGCCGCTCACACCTGCCCGCGCGGAGTGAATGGAGCGTGGAGGGCGGGAGGCATCCGGCGCGCGGGTTTCATCAGCCGCGCCCCGCGCCCGCCCTCCCCGGCGCCAGCCGCCCCGGCCAGCGGGCCCGCGTCACCACCGGGCACCAATGGCAGCGCCGCGCGGCCGCGGCTTCGGGGGCCGACCTCGGCGAGGGCGGTGCGCGGGGCGGGGCTCGGCAGCTTCGCGCGCGGGGCCCGGGCCTGGGATTCCCCCGCGGTGGGCGGTGCTTGCTGACGCGGCGGAGGACGCCCGCCCCTGCCAGCAGCCCCGCCCCCACCCCAGCTTGGACCAAGTTGGTGCGACACCTCCCCGCCCCCAGCCCAGACTGTCCACCCCCGATCGCGGGCCCCAGCGAGCGGACAAACACCAAGCTCGCGGCCAGTTTGCCTCCTCTTAAATGAAAACACTGGGGAGACACTTGAAGGTTTTTTTTTTTTTAAGTATTATTGGAAATCGTTTCTTTGTCGTCGGAATATTTTATGACTATTGCCTATTTTTAATAAATAACACATCCTCGCCCCTTGTCAGGAAGGACCAGAAAGCCCGAGTCCTCCTGTGCCCCGGCGGCGGGACTAGCGCCTGCCCTACAGGCATGTCACCGCGGTTATTTCCGCACCTGCTGTACCCGGGAGGGAGGTAGCAGAGACCGAATCACCCCTGCTCTCACCTCGCAGGCTTCCTCTTTGCTCCAAAAACCCAAGCAAGAACCACGATCTCTAGAACTCCAGTAACCTTTGACATGAAAAAGGTAAGGAGGTCATAAATTAATCCTCCCAGCCTCCTAACTTTGTAGGAAAGAAGGAAAAACCATAGCAGCCTGGTGTCCACGACCTTTAAATCCTTTCCACACTTCCTACCCGCCCGCCCCCACCCCCAACAAATGTCCTTGGTCAGTAACAGGGGCTCATTGTCAGCAGTATTGTTACAAAGTACCATACACTATTACTACTGCATGGTGCCAGCTTCAGAAATGTTTTCATGAATGCATAAAAATAGGCTAGTATTTGCAGGGCACTTTGAACAGGGCTGGAGAATTCAATGGACAGAGGAACCTGACAGGCTACAGTCCATGGGGTCGCAAAGATTCGGATGGGACTGAGGAAGTAACACTTTCACTTTCCCACTTGGAACAGTACTCGCATCATAGTGAGTGACTGCACAGGCGTAGTTTTATTTTTTTTAATTTTTTTAAAATTATTTTGATGTCTGATCTTATTTATTTGTTACTCTTAGAACATCTCATTTTTGACTGGACTCAGAAGGAGAAGCTCTCAGAGAGGACAGCCTCCGTCTCTTGGCAATCTGTTCCTGCCATTTTTCTTTGGCCTCCTTCATTCTCTTGGCCAAAAGTTTAGCATATTCTGCAGCCTCTTCTTAATTTTTCTTAGTACGCTGTTTCTTCAGAGCAACACGCCGGCATTTGTGTTGCAGAACTCATGGAGTCACGAGACGCTGAGCCTTGGGTGCTTTAGTCCTGGGTTTCTTACCATCTTTGTTTAGGGGCTTTCGTACAACATACTGGCGGACATCATCTTCTTTAGAGAGATTGAAAAGTTTGCAGATTCTGCTAGCTCTTTTGGGACCCAGGCGACGAGGCACTGTAGTATCAGTGAGTCCAGGAATATCCTTCTCCCCTTTTTTCACGATGACCAAATTGAGAACACTCAGATTGGCATCCACAATGCAACCCCGTACAGATTTGCACTTTCTCTCTCCAGTCCTCCTTGGTATGTAACAGGAATGCCCCTTACTCAGTAGCAGGCGAACTCCGCCATGGGTCAAGACACCCTGCTTCATGGGGAAACCCTGCTTATCGTTCCCGCCACAGATTCGGACCACATAACCCTTCCATTCTTCACCCAGAGCGTCAGCAGCAACTTCTGTGGCCATACGCTTCTCGTAGAAGGTAGGAAGTTTTCATTTATCGTCCACTTCAATGAGCTTCTGGTAGCCAGGGGCCGGGAAACAGATGTTCAGCTTCATTCTGAAGCGGCCAACAGGCTCTGAGGCACCACGAAAAAGAGCCGGGCGTAGTTTTAAAACAGTACATTTCAGTTGGAACTGTCTGTTGGTGATGGGATGCTCTCAAGTTACATTAAGGAGGTCTCCTGTGCTGAAGCTCTTCCTGAATCCCACAGTCTCCTTAACAGTGACACAGCCAGGCAAAAGGAATCCTGTTGAGAGTCAAGGACCACCCGCTTTGCTTTTGCCCTTGATCTGGATTTGAATCTGAATTCTACCACTTCCCTTGTGGCTCAGCTGGTAAAGAATCTGCCTGTAATGTGGGAGACCTGGGTTCGATCCCTAGGTTGGGAAGATCCCCTGGAGGACGGAATGGCTACCCACTCCAGTATTCTGGCCTGGAGAATTCCATGGACTATATGGTCCATGGGGTCGCAAAGAGTAGTACACGACTGGGCGACTTTCACTTTCTACCACTTCATTCCTGTAAGGTTTCCTGCAAGCTATCTCACCTCTGTTTGGAGCTTATAAACCTTGTGTTCTTAGCAGACTATCCCTTCGTGCCTGAAATATGATTGCGGGATTTTTTTTGTTTTAAGTAGAACAGAATTTGATGGATTGTAGAGATGCTGTGCTTGTGTGGCTCAGACATGGAACATAGAGTTAGTATTTGTAAATTCTGAGATCAAGTATTCCAGGCCCTGGTGGATGTATGGGTCATCGTCATCCGGGAGATTTTTGGCAATGTGCCCAGTTCAGCAGTCCCACCCAGCGGGCTTTGCCTTCAGAAAAGCGAGAGGAGACCCTCTGCAGGTCCTTTTTCACCAGGCCTGAAAGCTAGCAGCTTCCTGGTAGGAAAAACCGAATGTGAAGCAGCAGAAAACTAATTGTGCTTGGAGGCCACGTCATCTCGAGACCACAGGACCAAAGGGAGGCACAGCCAGGCCCTGGCGCTGACAGCGCTGAACTCCTCACTGCGGAAGACCCATGCCTCCGCTGGGGTTATTGAGCAATCTGCTGCAATTTCGGTGTTTCCCCACAGTTGTTCTCCTCCGTCTCGGCCCATGTGCCCAGTGTGGAAGGTGGGGAAGCCGTCGAGGTTCTCCAAAGCCTCCTTGTCTCTAACAGTGCAGTGTGGTCGCTGAGCTGCCGACACAAGGAGCACTGGCCCCAGGCGGGGAAGAACAGCAAGGTCCAGCTGCAGAAGGCTGGTGTCCCCACTGTGGGCAGAGAGCCCAGAAGGCACAACAGCTCTCCGGCTGGACGTGGCCATGAGCCTGGACTGCATCCCCTGTGAAAGGAGGTGGCCAACAACTCAAGCAGCCTCTGACCTCGTCTTCTTTTCCTCTGCGCTTCTACTGTCCCTTCCTCCACCTTCTCATTGGAAGAGATGAAATCGAAGAAAGTGTCACCAGCCCTGGAGCCCAGGTTTCTGATTCTCTTCCGTTTCCCTTCAATCAGGAAAGGCCCCCGCCTATGAATCCTGGGGTTCTGTGTGGCACCTGGAGACTTCTTCCCGGACAGATCTTTGTCATTAGTGACACTGTTAGTTGTTCAGTCGTGTCCGACTCTTTGCGACCCCATGGACTGTAGCCCACCAGGCTCCTCTGTCCGTGGGATTTTCCTGGCAAGAATTTTGGAGTTGGTAGCCATTCCCTTTTCCAGGGGATCTTCCTAACCCAGGGATCAAACCCATCATTCATGGGGCTTAGCTTATTCCTGCAGGGATCCAATTTGACAGAAACCATCCCATCCTTTGAATTTCTAAAAGGCTGTGCCACTTGGTATCGCAATACACCATTTTCAGTCAAACCTAGATACAGTGGTGACTGCACTCTGAAAGCTCTCATCACAGATAACACTTTCCTGCTATATTAGGATAAAAAAGGAATGAGGTCTCAGCTCACCCTAACACCCCGGATGTTTCATCAGGGCCTTCCCTGGTGGTTCAGATGGTGAAGAATCCACCTGCCAATGCAGGAGACCTGGGTTCGACCTGTGGGTCGGGATGGTCCCCTGGAGAAGGAAATGGCTATACTATACTCCAGTATTCTTGCCTGGAGAATCCCATGGACAGGGGAGCCTGGCGGGCTACAGTCCATGGGGTTGCAAAGAGTGGGACACAACTGAGCGACTAACAGTTTCACGAATGACAATGATCTGTCTGTGGGTTATAGGCCACGGGGTTGCAAAGAGTCAAACATGACTGAACAACTAAGACTAACATTCCAGATGTTTCTAACTTGGTCAAGCAAAAGTACAACCTTTATGCAAAGACATTGCAGGTTCTAAACATTCTGTCCGTATCCCTCAACATCCCTTCCTGCCTTGAGCTTCCTGTGACCTCACAGTCTTGGGATTAGGTCTCATTGTTTGCCTTTTGTGCTGAACTTCCCTGCTCGGATCATGGGCCGTCACGGCAACAGTGCAGTGGCTGAGAACACAAACAGTAGAGACAGAGTGTCTGTGGGACTGGCACCAGGTAACTGAGGCTCTCTGGGCCTCAGTTTTCTCATCTGAAAAATGGGATCTCTAAGGAGCTGCTAAAAGATTTGAGATAATGAAAGCCCCCTGTGAAGTGCCTGGCTTTTAATAATATGACTCCATAAAGGCTACTGATTACTGTTACTATACTCATTAATGATTTTCACCTAATGCATGCTCCACTGATACAAGCAAATACAAGAGGGATGACTTTATCAGCACCTGTTTTATTCTTTGACTCCTGAGAGTCTTAGTGGGAGCTGGGGGAGCCACAGGAGCAGTGGTATTTACAGATGGCTTTTCATGGTGCACCAACAGCACACCCTTCTTAAGTTGGCATGCGGGTAGGAACTAGCCCACAAGCCCATCTGCAAGAGCTTTGCTAGAATCCTGAGCATGGGCAACTCAGAAGAAGGATATTACTGTGAGCAGGCTCTCTCACGTGCTCCACTGTTGATGTTTTTTGCCAAATAATGCTGTGTTTCAGGGGGCCACCCTGTGCATGGAAGGGATGTCAGCAGAGTCCTTGGTCTTTACATACTGGGTGCCAGTTGCACCCTTCCACAAGCAAAAATGTCCTTCAGCGTTGCAAACAGCCCCGAGAAGGCAGAAATCGCCCTCCCTCCTTTGAGAGCCGCTGGCCTAGAGGGACATCTGATCGTCTTGCGCTGGGTGCTGGACACTGTGCCTGGGTGAATAGAGATGGTGCCATCCTGACAGGCAGAGTTCAACCTCAGCTGGTTGGCGCCAGTTCAACCGGACCACTGTTTACCCTTTCTAATGGATTGGTGCCTACAGCATCATGCTTGTGAAATATGCTTCTTATAATTCCTGCATGGCGGTAAGCCTTAGCTGGGGGTTCCTTTAAAGAAGTAAAGATGAAAGCAGATCTTAGTTGCTCATGTAGTAAAGACAAAGTTCATCCCAAGACCATCATGGCAGTACATGGTAGTCTAGCTGTTAAGACTCCACTGTGCTGCCACTGCGGGGGGCGTGGTTGGGTCCCTGGCCAGGGAACTAAGATCTCCCACGCCAAAAAAAAAAAAGGGAACATCATGGTGGCTAAAAGTAGTCAGGTGGAAATTATTCTGCCTCAAAGGCATCCAGTTATTCCCTGATATGGACTTCTCACCCATCTTTCCCAATCGTAGTACAGAATGACATTGTAGACAGCTTGTCATGAATGATGGTCACAAGCTATTCATCTACTTCTGGACTTGTGCAGAGCAAATTCTAAGAGGTGATTCTCCTCCAGGTGTCTCTATAAATAGAAATACACCACTTCTGATGACGTACCTTAGGCTCTGGGGTGAGATACACACCCCATATTTCCCTAGAAGATGGCTTCAGATTTTGGGTCCCAGAATGCTGGCAGTGGAGATGGCCACCTGTTATTAAAAGACAGGCATCCAGAAGTGTTGCCCCTGGTATCTGATCTGTGTCCAGAGAAGTCCCCCAACATGGGATGAGGGGGAGGGGAACAGTCAAGTAACTGGGGTACCTATGGATTCAGGACTAAGGGAAAGATGAGGGATAAGTCAGGTTGTGTTACTGCCTGAAATGAGCCCAGTTGCTAAGTAGAATCACGCAGCCACCATAGGCAACAATCCGGACCACGTGTTCTTCGTGGGTTACCACCATCCGGCTCCAGCGACCGCTCCAGGCACACCTGCCCTGTGCTCTGATGCTGCCCCAGGTAGGGAGACAAGCCTGGCATCCAACTGTGTTAGTTTGTCACACGGCCCCAGGACACCATGCCGCAGGCCAGCACTGCCTGTGTTCCCACTGCCCAGAGAGACTATTCTCATTTACCCTTCTTTTAATCAGTCTCCTCTCCCATGGACTGAAGGATGCCATATGAGAAAACTGGCTGTAAAGAGAAATGCCCTTCCCCTTCCAGGCCAGCCTTGACCCGGACGTGCGGACTCTCCCCTTTGGTTGGTTGCTTCCCAGAAATTTCTACTCCAAATCACTTCAGGCAGCCCAACCCCAAACCCTCCCACTAGGTCAAGCTTGATAACTCAGCACATAGTGATATCAAGCTGGGACCGCTGCTCTGCTTGTTTTCAGAAGAATATTCTTTCTCTTATTAAGTTTCCTATGTAAGTGTCACGAGAGTTAGTCATTAGTTACCCTGAATAGCTTATTACTTAACCATTGATCATTCATCAGGCTGATTGAGTGGTGTTCTAAGTGATTGTCACAAGGACCAAAGAAATATAAATTTCTTCTTTTCTTTCTCTGGGGTTGGGGTGGGGGGCGGTGCGGGGCGGAGGTTCTCTGTTCTCATATAGAACTCTCAAGTTTTTTAAGTCCTGTGTGAGGAGAGGGTGGAGAGAGTAGCATGGAAATATATATATTATCATATGTAAAATAAATAGCCAGCGGGAATTTGCTGTATGACAGAGGGAGCTCAAAGCCATGCTCTGTGACAACCTAGAGGGGTGGGAAGAAAGTTCAAGAAGGAGGGGACATGTGTATACCTGTGGCTGATTCATGTTGATGTATGGCAGAAACCAACACAATAGTATAAAGCAATTATCCTTCCATTAAAGATAAATAAAAAATTATTTTAAAAGTCCTATTTGCAAAATGTTGGCATAGCAGTCAATTAATTTAACTGTTGACTTCCTAAGTAACTATGGGTAGAATTTTTTAAAGCAAAGGAGAAATACCTTGACTGACATTATGGCAACTTAAGTATGTTTACAGTGGTGCCTGACCTTCCATCTCCCCATTCATGGGATGTACTGCCATTCAAAAGGAACAATTAGATGCAAATAGATGTTGGCAGATGCCTCAGCAGCACTTCCACTCATTCACCCCTAAAGATCGAAAGAGCACGCAGATGTCTGCAGCAGCCAGGTTCCCACCCTCTCACCTGGCGAGCATCCCCTTGTTCTGCCTCTGACTCATGTCATCACTGCCCCCCTCATCTTCACATCTTTCCTCGTCCAGCCCCACTCATTCCCAGCATTGACTTCCATCTACCCATCACAGGTGATTCCTTAGGAGCCTTCTTCTCCAAGATGGGTACCTCTCCTCACCGTGAGCCGACCTTCCAGGCTGGCATCAGCGTTCCACCCACATAAAGGAAGGAAGCAGGCCACTGGGAGACTTTGGTACCAGTTATGACTTGGTGGTTTTTCTGGTGCCTGAAATTACGCGCAGAGCGCCCAGGTCTAAAGCAAACACTTCTCAGATGAAATCAACAGCGACTGAGAATACCAGAAGATGTGAGTTCTAACTGTACTGTGGTTGGACCATTTTGTTTTGCTGTCGCACAGTCTGTGACAATATGGAGATCATTCATTTTGCCACTCTCTCCTCTGTGGCACGCATCTGTTAATAAGGATAAACAAGCCGGCTCTCCTGCTCGCGGGTCAGTGTCTGGGAAAAAGTGGGCTGCTGATGATTCATGACTGGATTCTGTGTGTCCACTCACCTCTGCCAATGTTGCCGGACCTCCGGCATCCATGCTGGTAACTTTCCTGAGCTGTGCTTTCCGCTCCAAAGACAACAGAAGGATATATATATATATATATATATATATATATATATATATATATATGAAAGTGAAAGTCGCTCAGTCGTGTCCGACTCTTTGTGACCCCTTGGACTTATACAGTCCATGGAATTCTTCAGGCCAGAATACTGGAGTGGGTTGCCATGCCCTCCTCCAGGGGATCTTCCCAACCCAGGGATGGAACCCAGGTCTCCCGCATTGCAGCGGATT